ACAGCAGAAAATCTTCTCTTCTGTTGGAGAAGTCAGTCATGAAACAACTTACTCTCTTCCACTCCTCTTACCTAAGTGGCTATCCCTGGAGCAGCAGAGAAGGTCAAGTTATCTCTTTGGCAGCTCCTTTTCTGTGGTTTTGCTCAAAGGAGACATCTTGGTTGGAAGAGATGTGAAGGGAAGGTGCTATCACCCTGGAGAAAAGGCTGTGCGTCTGGACGGCATCAGAGATAACACTTGTGGAAGGGGACAGTGATGTCTCTCTTTCCATTGTTACTACTAATTTGGAATGTTATCACTTCGGGATTTATTTATTTGTGCTCCCCACTGCCCTCGTGTTGTTCTCTGGTGCCTGATTCAGTCCAGGTACAAGAGGCTCTCTGTGACTGACAATTGCTCCTCCAAATGTATGTCTGTGGGGTCTCACACCTTCTTCTAGTTGACAATTACCTTTCAAGATCACATCAATCATGTAGCTGTGTTATGCTTCATAAAAGCATTGACATGTGTTATTGCTTAAAAACAATAATTGCAATTCAAATGCGCTGGATTTCTGTAAAATGTTTCAGGAGATGGTAGACTGTCCCATATTTGCAGTTTATTTTTTCAGAGGTGCAAACACACTGGCAGTCCCTCCAGAATCTTACATTTCTGTCATGTTTTTAGCTTTTTCCCTTTCCTTTGTGAGTAGGTGAATGATATTTATTTTCTTCAGTTTCTTTTGTGGTGTTGAAATCACTTTGTATCCTCATTAATCACAGGGTGGAAGATTTTTGGCCTTGAATTCCAGTACCATTGATAAATACTGTGGTGCCAAATGCCCTAAGCAAAAATGTAAATTTTCACTTTCTTATGAATTATTAAAGGTAGTGCTGTAAATAGATGAAGAATTAATTTATAGATAATGATGAAGAATGACCAGTCTACTCTGTTACATTTAAGCTAGTGTGCAATAGATATGCTTTATTATTAATGAAGAAATTACTCCTTTGTTTGTACTACAATGAACATATTATCACTGGGGCTGAGACTTCTCTCTCTGCTTCAAGTATAAATAATGGTTACTATGAATGTATGTAACTTCTGCCATAAATTTGAGAAAAAGCATGAGTAAAAAATTTGTGGACCCTTAACTTTGTCTTATATTTTGAAGGGCGAAATATTTAATAAAGCTTAATTAATAATGCATTTCTTGTTTTTTGGTGAAACCGGGCAGATTTCAAACTGTATTTTTAATCAATTTGTTGCTGGAAAAATGTATCAAAATAATGGTATTTTACTTCAATACTACTAAATGGGCAATAATCTGCCCAATATAATAAAATCTGACAATTTGGTGTAATAACGGGCATGAGTTTGTGGCATGTAACTATATCTATAGAAAATATATTTGATGTGCAGAGTACAACATAGTTGTAGCCATACAAGTAAAATTTTAAGAATAGGGGAAATATACTAATTTTTACACTAAGTAAATCAATTATATAGCTACTTTCTGCCTGGATATTTTTAAAGTTTTTACTCTTTTTCCTGTGTGGGTTGTTGTGCTTGATTTGGCTGGTATTTTTGGCATTCACATCAAGCTGCTGGAGCTTACCTGATGTCACTTTCTGTAGAGGATGAAGGATGCATGGGAGGAGAGAGACCCAGAGGGCAAGATTAAGGAGGAAGATTTACTTTTTTTGTTGCTGTCTTTTGAGATAATGGTAATGTGCAGTCCCTCAAAGTGAAGTGTATATACTCAATTCCTTATGATAGTGCATTTGCAAGCACATTACCTGTTCAGAGCACTGGTACTGCAAGTTTGCTGCCCCAATTTGCACCCAGTCTCTTTACATGAACATGGATGCAGTGGCTAAAATTGCACATCTCCAACAAGCATCACTGTGAGACAGGAGGAAAGATGGGAAAAGTGGCATCTTGCTCTTCAGTCCCCTTCACAAAAATCTCTGTCCCATGCCCTGGTTTAGACCAGAATCTCAGCTTTGGTCTTAGACTGTTAATTACTTAGCTTTGATTTTTATACAGATTTTCTGAGCAAGCAGTCCTACTGGCTGCCTGATTTTTGAGTTTCCTAGGAAGAGTTAGACTGTCTTAACTAATATCAGCCAGCTAGAACCCTCTCACTGGTATGGCTGTGCAAAACAAAACTGAGTGGTTGACAAAGTAGCAGTTATTGCATTCACTTAGGCAAACTAATTATTAAATTATCAAAAAGAAGAATTTTAACATTTTGAGAGTGTTAGCAGAATAAAATATCTTGATGTATGTTTTCAGCATGTTTGTATGGCATCTAATGTGACGTTGTCTCAACAACAAAAAAATTATCCAACAAAACAACAGCAGAAAAAAAACAACCCAGGAGGGCATGTTTTTCAATGCTGGGAGCTATCGATTATATTAATTTTTAAATTAATCTTCTCATGGAATGCAGGAAGCAGTTAGTTTGGTTGCTGTGATTGAGGTCAGAGCTCATTAATAATGGTACTTGTGATGCCTGAGTTTTTATATGCTCTTCTAAGTTTTCACTGGAGACTTTCAGACATTTTTGCTATCATGGGAAGCTACATCAGGTAGGGTCTCTTTTGCTTTTGGGTTTGTATCTGCTGCCATTTCTTTGTAGCCTGAGTTTTGATATAAGCTTCTCCTCTGGGAATTCAGATCTATTCAGTGTATATATAAAACTTTCATATGCAATATCGTACCTTTTGCCTTGCTGTCCTCTGAAATGTAGCAGCAGGCTCCAGGTTCTAATGAAGATTTTCTCACCTTCATGTTTTATTAAGCCTCCTGTGCTTTGATGCTTAGGATGAGTTCAGGTGCATAAAGGTGGACTCGGGTCTTCTTGCCTTAGAAGCATCTGAATATTTGCCATTTATTCCAGTGATTTTGTCTTGCTTATTTTGCTGCTTTGTTTTGCCCATTTGGAAACATGACAAATTAAGGTAATAAAATGTGTGCTGCTGTTTCCCAGTAAAACACTGGTAAGCCATAAGATCCTACTATTTTTAAGATTCTACATATGCTATTTGTAAAGCATGTTTATATTTATTTAATTGTAATTGTAAGACAGAAGTGGCAAGTAGGGTTTTAACTGGGAATTGGAAGTGAAGGACTTTTGACCTGTTAAAAAGAAACAAGAAAATGTCAACTTTAAATGGGGAAGAGGTTGAATGACACTATCATAGCCTTGGGGCTAAAAAAAACCCAAAAAAGCAAATTGAAAGCAGGACTACCATGCTTAGTTCTGTCTTTAAACTTATTTGATACAGTACTTTCCAAAATTTTGTTAAGTGCAGCCTCCCTTTGGCACATCTGCCCTCATATAGCCACTTGAGTTTGCAGCAGCGTATTTGCTCCAGGATAATGGCTGTAGGTGTTGGGTGGAGGTGCTCCTGTTCACTCTGGCATTCTGGAGGAATGGAGCCTCTCCTGGCAGCTGCTGGTGGTGGTTTGCCATCTTCTGACCAGTGTAAACACTTGCATCCTATTCTTGCTTCCTTGTCTTGAAGAAACAGAACAGCAAAAGCGTTCCCTTTTACGCCTTTGTGATCAACACTTTGAAGACTCTAGGTCAAAAAGATGAAATGCCACAATTTAGGATATTCTGATGTGGATTTCGTTGCTTAGATTATGTGTTAATATGTGGAAATAAACTTTTCAATTGATCTGTTGTGTCTAAGCAACAGTGTATTGCATTGTGTAAACAAAACCAAAAAGAAACCCTTACATCTGAATAATGCTGGTGGTATTATAAAGTGATTTCAGAAGTCTAAAGTCATTACACGTACTTCAGAAACTGATGAGACATTTGTGTTATGCTTCAAGGCTAAATCTTCTAAGTGCCTTTACTTACTAAATACCTTTACTTATAAGATTATATCACCAAATTTTTGCTAATTTAGGATATCAGAGCTTAAGTCTTATGCTAAAGATCTTCTTTCTTTTATTGGGCAATTCTATATGAAAATTATTTTGATCAAGAATTCCTTAGATTAAAGCGTTGTGGTGGGGTTTAGGGGGTTTTTTTGTGTATTTTTTGGTTTGGTTTTTCCCCCCCCCAGCCAAGTATCTCAATCATTAAAATGATTCTGGTACAATTATATAAATGTAGCATTGTTACTCTACTGCTATTTAAAAGTAATTTAATAACTGAGTATATCACTGTCACTTTCTATTTGTTGCAAAAGACTTCTTCGCAAAGTAAGGAAACATTCCTCTACAGCTGCTTTTAAAAATGGTTTTCAGAACATTTAAGTGGATAAATGTTACTAGGCTACACTCTTAAATCACTTGGGAGTTGAACTTTTTACTCTGGATCCCTGTCCAAAGGAACCAGACATTTAAAAAAACTCCAGAACAGTGTGAGCTGGTGCTGCCAAGGCCTTCTGTCTGTGACATTTCGTGCTTCAGGGAGAGCCAGAAGCAGAGGATTGTGACTTCTGAATGTGTTCTCTGAGAAGACCATCTCCCCAAGGTCTTTGCTTGAGGTGCAGCCCGTTTAAGAAATGCATTGTGTCATTCACGAACAGCCTTCTGGTGCTTGTTACAAAAATCAGCACAGAGCTGCCTTGTTCAGGGAGGGAATACTTTAGGGTGCAGTGGGTTCATGGCCTCTATTTCAGATGTGCTGTGCATTGAGGGGTCCTCCAAAAGAAGAAAATGGTCTGATCACGCTGCAACAATCAGTGAATTACAGTACAACATGATTTGAAGTGCAAACCCTTAAGAACAGGTTTCCTGAAAAAATGTAAATTGTATCAATAATTAAAGAAAATAATTGTATCTGATTTAACCTTACACGCAGAGAAATGGTATTATTTTTGTAATATTAATGAAATGGATGCTTGCAAAGCAGTTTTTCTTTTTTTCCTCCTTTGAGTTGCTGTTGGGAAGTATAATTGCCTAATTTCCCAGGATTGCTACGTCAGCTGATGTTGCAAGTGTCTGCCTCATTGTCTTTTTCCTCTTTCTTCCCCTGCCCCCCACAAAACATGCAGGAAGTAATTTCGGCACTGCGAAGGATCTTGCAGAAGAAATAAGATCATTAACATCTGAGAAAGAGGGACTGGAAGGACTTCTCAATGAACTTTCGGTTCTGAGTGCCAGAAATACGCAAAAACTAGAGAGAATTAAGGATGACTACACCAGATTGAAACAAGAGCTTGAACAAGGAGAGGCTGCCTTTGGTGAGTAGTTTACAGATTGTTACAGCTTTTTGCTCAGACTTGATCTCCTAAAGGTTTGCTGGGTTTGATGAATCATTCTGCATTTCGCAAAGCATACTGATTGTTCTGAGGGAAGTCTGGCAATGACCTGCAGAAGCAGTATGTTCAATATCCTCTCAACTGTTTCCCCTGGAGTTGGGAGAGGGATGAGGAACAAGGGATACCCCAGCAATAATACCACTTTCTGAAATCTGTCTTAGCCCAGCTCTCAAAACCTTTATTTTCTAAGCCCATTTTATCACAGTGATAATGGCATTGTGCTTGTGTTCACATACAGAGGAATATGTAGTCTTTATGCAGGAGCAGTAGATGTGTCTGGCTGTGACAACAGGAACGTGTTTAGTATATAAAACTAAGTGTTTAGTATGTACATATATAACCCACTTGGTGATGAGTCTCAATGTATGAGATTCCTGATTCTGAAAGTAAGTGTTCTCATAGTAAATCTGTGTTTGAAGGAGAGTTTTAACAACTTTCCAAGTGCTGCTCTCACACAACTATGAGCAGTGTGCTTGGGTTGTAGTGTCATGGTGGAATTGGGGAGGTTGTCTATGATTACTGGAAGGATACTGACAAGTTATCAAACAGCAAAGTCATTCCTAGACTTGACCTACTCTCGTCTGCTGTACGCACTCCTGAAGCTGAAGCAGATAAAATGGCCTTGCTGCTTGCTTAAATGAAAAGGCTCAGTAATATTTGATTGACTACAATGTACAGTTAATATAATTATCTCTAAACTAAATGCAATCCTGAGAGATACTTTAAAGCTTTAGGATTTTGAAATGTTTGTCTTTTTTCGGGATTTTATGAGCAGTAGGTTGGGTGAAGAGAGGAACGTGCCTCTGTTTTAGAAGTGTATGAAGTTTCTTCATAGGCAAGTGGATAAGCAAAGCTATCATAGCAACAAAAAGATTTGTAGGCAGCTGGATACAGTGTTTTAAAAATGCATAGTAATGTACCTATACACACTTCTAGATAAGAATTTGTTTTTTTCGAATCTAGATAAAATTTTAAAAAATTATTCTCAAATTTAGTGCATTGTGATACAAACTGAGAAATGACCATCAGGCAATGCTTCTTTCCTTGAATTTTCAAGAGAGTTGAAAAGTATTCTGACCTTCTAATCAGCCCATTTTGTTTCTCTTTTATTTTAGGACAATTAAACTTCCTATAATACACATGTATGTTCTCATTTGTGTTTTAATTTAACAGGGTTTTAAATCAAGCCTGCATAAGATGCTTGCTGAAGCAACAGAAATGGTATCAGTACATAGACTCTTTTTTTCCCTTTTGCATTTCTTACCTGACCTCCAGTGTTCACACAATTTGTGACAATAAATTTCAAAATACTGGGTGTTTACTCAGTAGATTTTCTCTTAATTTACTGTGATTCTGTAGGCATAAGGACAAATCTAGCCTTATGTTAAAATGCTGTCAAGCAGATACTAGTCAGAGATACATAAATTGAAACCTGACATCTTCCATTTTCACCATCCCTGCCCCCTTTACATGTGATCTACCCTGTTTTCTCCTTTAAAAAATGGAAATATTTGAGAACACTGGCATGGGTTTGATACCAACACATTTAACTGAACGTAAGCCTTGAGATACACTCTGGAAAACAGTTTGCAGATGGTGTCTTGAGGAAAAGAAGCCACCTTTATGGAACAGTGTTATTTTGCACACCACTTTTATGTTTAGAGAATAAAGCATAAAGAATTGGAATACAATTTTGTTCCCATTTGTTTTTGCTGTTATTTGAAAGAACTGGAGATAATTGTGTTTGTCTGCACTGTGAAAGGTGTGATTTGAATTGGGGTAGCTGACCTGACTTGCTTCACAGCCTTAGGCCTGGTGTTTCATTTATGCCAATAAAATCTGTGTTGCTGCAGAGAAAGGCAGTTCTGCCTTTTTTTCTGTGTTCCTGCCCCAACCCGTACACTAGGTTAGGGTTAGGTCCTATACATGTCCATTTCTATGTCATCTAGTGCTTGAATTGTTGTTTTGTGCCTGTGAGCTTCTTGAAAACTTTGGGTTTTTTTGCTGAACATAATACTGTTTTGTATGGAAAATATTAGACAAAAAATGTATATGCTTAAATACGTGTGTATGTTTGTCTTTATCTTGTGTATAAATTGGTCACCCATTTTTTACTTCATTAATAATTGGTGATTTCTCACAGTAATGCAGATATAAGGAAGCAGACGTCAAGGGAAGAGACTTAATCACACAATAATCAGAGCTGGAATTTTAAATAGGACACATCATTAGCATGTTAATGAATTTTCTCACTCTGTGCCAGCTGCCCAAGTATAAAAGATATTGCAGATGTAGTGCAAAAATCAGGCTTGGCTTACTGCACTGAGAGCTGTCAGTGCTCTCTATGAAGGAAATTTGACAAAAAACCCTTTCGTATTTTTAGAGATGCTAAAAAATATGCTTTTTATGTTGGATAATAGTAGCATTGACAAGTAATGCTATGTATTAGCATTTTAGGATGAATAGTACTAACTTGCCCTTTAGGCATTGGCTTTTTTCTGAGGCCGTCAAAATGCTGCTGTATAAGTGATCAACTTTTATTGCCATTTTACAGATAGGAAGGCCAGAGACTTAGAGGTGATATAATTTTACCTGAAATGGTGGTGAAACAGTTTCCCAGGGATGGTTGGTCTAGCATCAGTCCTGATCTCTTGCAATAAACATATGAAACCAAGTGGTGCTGTGATTCTGTGTGAGCTTTATATTCTTCTGGACGGTAGCCAAAGATGTGATGGTTTTGGGAAAATCAGTGGAGGTCTTGTGCTTGATCATTGAGCAGACTTGTCTTATAAAGTGAGAAGGTTCTGTTATGGCAAAGAAGAGAGCTGCTTTATAGCCCAAAACAACCAAACTTGTGTTCCAGACAAGTGAAGCTTAATTACTTGCCTGTCTGCCAAACTGTTGGATTGTGCTTATAAATCCTGGCTTGGGTTGATTGGCATTTGTAACCCAGGGCTGGAAATGGAACCTACCCTCTTGTTGTGGTTTCCTTATCACCACTACTGATGGGCAAGTTTTCCTGCCCCGTCTGCTGAGTTATTTTCCTGGCTGCTCTCAGCCTTTTTCTGCCCCTATTACACTTCTGGGAAAGCACCTCCTGTAAGTAATGTATGTACACACAGAACTAGGGGACACCGTGCTTCCCGCTCTAATTGCTAGGTTGTGCTTGCCAAGTCTTGTTAAGTAGAATTTCTATACTGCATTAATTTCTAGAGGAAATATAAAATAAAGGCTTTCATGCACATGAAAATAGCTTTTAAACTGTTTTTAAAAACACCCAAACTACTGTTTGAAGGCTGATGTTTCAGTCTTTCTGCTCAACTCTTGTTCTGTCCTTGACTTCTATTGTCTTAGAAATTGCTTGTGTAAGTCCTAAAGCTCTTACCAGCCCACTTGTACAGTAAAGCTTTCTGGAATTGAACAGATACATTTATTAAACAACAAACGAGATGTAGCAGAACGGTTTCTTGGGAAGCTGGAAATTTATATCGCACTCAGTTTTACTTTCTTTTGTGCAGTATACACACTCTGCATGCTTGCATAGAATATCTCACAGTGTTTTGTCCTTTTAACAGAAGAAAAACCTATCAGAGTTCATTTTTTTTATCTGCTTTTTTTTTTAATTAAAAAAACCTCAATGTTTTTGCTTTAGAATACTACTTAGGAATAAAATATGTTCAGAACGTACTTCAAAGGATAACAAAAATTCTACCATTCTTTTTATAGTCATTGTTCCAAAAGCTGCAGTTTTGACTGTTGTGAAGGATGCAATTAATTAGTCTAAAACTTAATATTGTCTGGACAGCAGAAAACCACTAGTGGTGCTGCTTAATGTAATACTTGCTATTGCATACTGAAATATTTATGAAAGGAAGGTTCTGTGCTTCATATGCAATTGTATAGGATGTGATTTATCAAAGTGTTAATGACCATTTGCTACAAAGCAGTTTTATTCTATTTCAAAGACATTTTTATTCTGACAAGTGCAACACAAAGTCTTACAATAGAAACGCATGCAGTGTACTTTGCACTGGGAAACCTACCTCTTTTGTTTGTTTAAATATTTGTTTTTAATGACAGCTGTAATACAAAAGCTTCTCTATTTTTCTTCGTAACTGGTCTTTGGAATACTATTTAAAGATGTCTAAAGATTATTAACAATTTTACACTATTTTTAATTGTTGCAAAAAATACCAACTAAGTATGGCATAAACCCACGTGCCTGCGACATAACCAGAATGATTCCATGTTTTGTTTACTGATTTTTTCGAGTGGTGGTTTTAATGTTCTACCTCAGTGCTAGCTTTTCTTCACCAAATAGGCTTTCTATATTGCTTCTATAGTTCATCCTCTGTCTGAGTGATGATCTGATTCTAGACTGAAGAGCTGAACTTCTGATTGCTCCTGTTTAAATAAATCATTAAAGGAGAACCCACATAGTGTGTAACAGATGGGCTTCCATGAGGAAGAAGAAGCTGCTCTAGTTCTGTGTCTCCACTTCTAGTTTGGGTGAGGTAATTAAGTTCTGCATGTCACACCTTTATGAAATGCTTGTTGTCATTGAAGTACGTGGTGAAATTGAATGGCTTATTGCTTATGTCTGTCGCCATCTCTACTTAAACACTGATCCTTCAGGATTTAGGCAGTGGTCCCTCTGTTGAGCTTTCACAGAAGATGTAAAACCTCCAGTGGTGATGCAGGGACAGGACTGGCAGTGCAGCTGGTGCAGCATCCTTTACTCTGGGCTGACCGTCAGCTGCTGCTCCAAAATAGCGCTTGGCAGTGTTCTGTTGGAAAAATCATGGAAAAATCATACCCATGTAAGAAACCAAAAGAATTAAACAACAGCAACAACACAACCCTCAAGAAGCCTGGTCTTGCAGAGCTTCTTTTGTGTTGTCTTGGGCAAATACAGCATGAGT